CCACTATGTACCGTTGGACCAAGCCGAACCTATAGAGAGGAAAGAAACCCGCGAGGCGGACGGGAGCATGGCAAAAGCAGCAAAGGAAAACCAGCAAGACAACGGGCAGTGCACAGCATATGAAGCTATGGCGGCGAGGCGGAAGCCTAAAGGCAGTGAAGGAAACGACAATAAAGCAAGGGGCGGCAAGCCAACAGAGAATCGAATGGCGAGAAGCTGCAAGGCACTCAGGCATGAGGGCACCGGGGAGGTGGGTGGGCAAAAGAAACAGCACAACGCTGCGAGGGAAACTGCAGCAAGCCACAAGGCATCAACACAAAGGTGATGAGACAAAAAGCAGCAAACATGAAAAATTCAAAGCCCCCCAAAAGCAACCACCAAAAAAAAAAAAAGATGATAGATTGTTTCGTTGGGAGTTGCACTAGGCTCATCAGGAGGCTGAACCCTCGACAATATGCGGAATCCTCATATGGTTCAAAGCAGACTACCAGCAGGCAACATTGCATGCCGAGCATAGCAACAGGCAAAGACTCAGTGGAGCGTCGGGCAATGCTGCCGGGGCAACCCACCCGCAAAGCTTCAAAGCTAACTGCGTGGAATGACAGCTCAAGCAGACTGGCAGCAGAGCAAGAGCACAACACATAGCAATGCTGCATCAGTGGCGAACTGCACGTCACACAAGCAAATACAGAGGAAGACAAGGCATGCCGATGGACAGCAAGGGAACAACGCAGCAAAGCATAAAGGCAACACCAACAATGCAGCCAAACTACATAGCAACACACAAGGGGGCGGGGCTGCCCCCCCATCTGCATGTGAATACACGAATGGATGATTCGAAACGGTGCTGCTACGTGGACTTTGAGGAGGGGCAAGCCACGTTGCAGGACCGCTACTGTGAAGATGATGGGGGCATCACAGAAGATGTGAACGATAACAGCCTCATTGCCTGCAGTTCTGCCACTTCCGCCGATAAAGATGATATAATTGCCAACAAGAACAGTGATGACGACGACAACAACAACAACAACAACAACAACAACAACAACAACAACAACAACAACAACGACGACGACAATCACAACGGGGATGCTGGTGTTCCATGTGGAGATGACGATGACAACAATACCCACAACAACATCGACGATGACAACAACAACAACATCAACAACAACGACAAATACAACAGCGAGGATGGTGCTCAGCATGGTGTTCCACGTGGAGATGACGACGATAACAATACCGACAACAACATCGATGACAACAACAACAACAACAACAACAACAACAACAACAACAACAACAACAATAATGACAATTACAACAACAACAACAACAACAACAATTACAACAGCGAGGATGGTGCTCAGCGTGGAGACGAAGGTGAAACATGTATTTGGACCATCAATAATAACAAGGCAAAAAACGACGGGGAGGAGAGGGCTCAGCGCGGGGACGATTGTCATAAATGCATCTGGGCCATCCAAGTCATCAACACAGTTAATGATGATAATATTGTGGGCCCGGTAGATAATGACTACAACAGCGGGCGTAGGGGGCAGGGGGTGTTTCTCGAGCGTCTTGCCTCTCCCGGTGGGGGTGGTGCTATTGGGGATGGAACGAAGATGTTGTCTACGGCTATGTCTATAAGTACATGTCTGTTCGGCCGATATGTTATCGCACCGCTTCTGTGGGACCCGGGGGGGAGGATTGAGGGGTGCGACTAGGTATATGGCACCCCGATGACCAGCCGAGGATCCTTCTCATTCGTGCGCCTGAAACTCTTACCTCTGTCTTGGGGACACATGGCACCCTGACATGAGTTTTGTTGTTTTCCGTTTGACCTTTTTCCTACCCCGAATGCCTCTCCCCCTTACGGCGTTGCATGGAGTGATAGTAGATGATAAGGGTTTCGGTGTAGGAATCTGAGTTTTGATGTGATGAGCAGTTAATCCCCTCAGTTGAGGGCAATCAATGCTGTTCATCAGGTGGTAGAGTGCGGCGTGTTGGATCGGCATGTTTTTTGTAGGAATGACACGTGGCATGTTGACATGAATTCGTAATTGTTGAGGGCCGCTGGACCCGATTTCCAGCAGGTGTTGCTCCCCACCAATAGATGGAGCCTCCCCGAGCATGCTAGTGGTGTCTGCTCTTATCAGCACCCCTAGCATTTACTCGGGTTGTTTTTCTCGGAAAAAAAAAAAAAAAAAAAAAAAAAAAAAGAATGACGAGCACGCAAGATGGGTAGAAAGGCAGCCGTGGAGCATAGACAAGGTAGTCCACACATCCAACACAGAGCAAAGCCATCCAAGACCTACTTACAGCACAAGTAGGAACTGTTGGTTCCCACCACCCCCTGAGCCAGGAAGCCACTTCCACTGACATCTATCATCACTCATAGACCATATGCACCCCAGACAGAGCGGGTCCCCTAAGAGTCTTCCAGGCACTCCAAACAACCGAGTAACGACTATTTAGGACTTCTTAAACCACCAGCACTTGGCCCAGCTATGGGCCGCGCCGCTTTCCCGCGCCGCGCCTTTAGGGCTTCGGGGTACCGGACCACAATGGCTGCAAGCGCCAGCCAAAAAAAAATTGAAACGTTACCCCGGCGCTTCAGCAAAAATTGGCGTGCAAGTGGCATTCCAGGCTCGGCATCGATAGCTGGGCCAAGTACTGGTGGTTTGAAGGTGCTCACTCAGACCAAAAAAATATCCAGAAAGAGGAAATACAGACATACCTACAAAATTAAGTGTGTGTGTGTGTGTGTGTGTGTGTGTGTGTGTGTGTGTGTGTGTGCTGTCTCTTATACACATCTAGATGTGTATAAGAGACAGATTCGAAACGGTGCTGCTACGTGGACTTTGAGGAGGGGCAAGCCACGTTGCAGGACCGCTACTGTGAAGATCTCTTATACACATCTAGATGTGTATAAGAGACAACACAAGGGGGNGTGTGTGTGTGTGTGTGTGTGTGTGTGTGTGTGTGTGTGTGTGTGTGTGTGTGTGTGTGTGTTGTTAAAGCACCCCAAATTCCCTCTCTCATTTCCTCCACAAATCATAGCAAACCATCCATAACGAAATAGTATAGGTAGCCAATATAATAGAAACTGCAAGGTTCGCCATGTTTGTGTTGTTCAACGCCAAGTGCCCACACACCCGTCTGCCGCCGCTGTGTCACACTTGCACGTATACATGTATACATATATTTATTTGATCCATAAAAGGGTGGAGGGCAAGAAGCAACTTACCTAAGACAGATGACTCCACCAGCAAGAAAGCACCAACCCCATCCGCCATAGGTCCGGAGAAACCTGAAGAGCCCTCCATGTCAGCCCACAAAACCGCAAAACAGCATAACACAAAACGCTCCACTGACAAAAAAGCATTGATCACGCATGCCGATGGTCTAAAAACATTTTTTTGAACCCTCTGTGACGACCAACAACGCCACCACAAATCATAAATACACTGCAGGACCTGTACGCATCACCAAGAGTGCCATGAACGTCCCCTTGCCGCACCACCTGCAGAAGCGGATGATGTCCTAGTAATACAGCGAGACCATTGCTGCCACCTGCAGAAACGGATGATGTCCTAGTACTACAGCGAGACCATTGCGAGAACTATGCCAAATTCCACAAGATCTCCACGAGTCACCAGGAGCGCTACTGCTTAAGACACCCTAGAAGGCACCCCCTTCTTCCATGTGCTCCAAAAGAGCAGCCCGTGAGAATGACACCCACAGCAAACACTCTCTGAGCCTCCTCGCACAGATATTGTGTCAAAAACCCCAAAACCCCACCCGAGAAAAAACTTGTGGCTACCTGCAGACAATACTTCATGGACAAGACAACCCATGCTAAAAGCAGGGCAAAAAATTAGGCCATGTTAAGAAAACCAAACCAACAAAATTAGACAATGTAATAGAAAATGCAAGGTTGGCCACGCTTGTGTGGTTCAACGCCCAGTGCCCACACACCCGTCTGCCGCCGAAGTGCCGCACTTGCACACAAACATCCATCTGGTGTGGGTGAGTGATAGTCTGCTTTGATTTTCGTCACAGGTACCTTGAGGGCAGTGTTTGGTGCCCACCGCATGGTATCAGTTGCCAGGCAGTCGTTGATGCTTAACCACAACCGGGGTTAAGGTGGATTATCACTTATAGTGTAATCAGTTAGGGGGTTCTGCAGACTTTTCAGGGCTCAGCCTCCTGATGAGTCGGGGAAACTCGAACGAAACAGTTTGTCACAGTCCTGTTTGTTGTCCTCTCCTCCCTCTCTGCCTACGGTTTACCGCTACGTATACCCTGCGGTCATGACCGCGGAGTCAAACTCGGATTGTGGTCGAGATCCCAACTGCCGGGCACAGCCCGGGCGGTCGGGCACGGCTGATAAATTGTCGTATTTAAAAAAATAAAAATAATAGACCCAATATATATCTATGTATGTATGTATATATATATATATATATATATATATATATATATATGTATGTATGCAGGGTTACCAGCCCGTACGTACGGAGGCCCCAGTACGGACCTCTGTACGTTCGGGCGTTCGGGGTCCCGTACGGGCCCGAACCCGACGGCGTTCGGCCCCCGCCAAAAGTTATTTCGGGGCCTAAAATTAAATTTGTTTTTCTGAAGTTTTTTTTATGGGTTCTCTATGACGTGAGGTACATGCCTATAAATTTTCAAGTCATTTGGCTTTGCCAAAAATGAATTAAAAATCGCCAAAGATGGCGGTGTCAAAACGTGCTCGCCCACATTGTTTTTCACTTTTTACTTTTTGTTTTCACTTTAGTTCGGGGTCTAAACAATTTTATTACTTTTTTGAAACTTTTTTAGTGGGTTTTGTATTATGTGAAGTACACAGCTGTGAATTTTAAGGGCATTTAGCTATGCCAAAAAATGGCGGTGTCGAAAACATGCCCGCGCACTCAGTAAATTTAATTCTCTTTTTATTTTTATTTATTTTTATTATTAGTATTTGTTCTGTGTATTTTGTTTTTATTTCAAATTTGGTAAGGAATTCGGACGTAATGCTCAGGCAAATCTTGTTTAATTTATTTTTCTCCATAACGTATCTTTTTTTCAGATTTTTTTGATGACTTGTTTTTTTTTTTTTTTAATCCGCGTTCGGCCCGAACGGCCGAACGCATCCCCAAGGGGTCCCATACGTTCGGGCGTTCGGGTTCGGGCGTTCGGCCCGTCCCGAATGCCGGTTACCCTGTAGTATGTATACATATATGGGGTTGTAAGTTTTTTTTTGTTTTTTTTTTTGGAAGAATCATTAACTTTTATTGTCAGTCCTGATCACGTTGGAGTTAGAGGTGGTATGCATATTGTGTATTAACGCCCCTAACACCGTAAGCGAGAGAATCTTTTTCGGAAAAATCAAAACGCAGATCCCGGACGGCGTTCCGGTCATCATAGCAGGGGACTACAATGCGGCACCTAACCGATGGATAGATGGAGGACACCCTCCCTGGCCCTAGTGTATGTGGAGGAGGATGAGAGGATGATAAGACATCTAAGTCTCTCATTAAACATCTTCGACTCCTTTTGGAGACTTAATCCAAACAAGCGGTTCTTTTGATGTCTACGAAAGAATGGGACCGAAGGCCAGACGCGATCTAGAATTGACTTGATCTTGCTTTCGGAGGATCTGGCAGCCTGTGGCAGGGGCATTGCTGCTGGCAGCAATACTGCCAGCGAGTCCATATTCGGGTCTCGACCACAAAATGTGCATGGTGATCTTGTCTTTTCGAAAGAAACCCGACCACGGGCCCGGGTTCTATAAACTTAATGTATCTATCTTACGACACGAGACATTCCGGAGCTATATCAAGGACTGGTGGACGTTTTTGCATACACAGAAACAGCATATCCCGCAAGAAATAGACTGCTTCAACAATGGTCTCTTCTACCTGGGAAAAAAATGCCAAGAATACTCAAAACAACTAGCGGTCAGAAATCATCAGCAGGAGATGGACATTCACCAAGAACTTCAACAACTTGAGCTATAAGACCAGTTAAAAAATCCAGACAATAATGCCAACAGTAACCAACACACACAACCAGAAGGGTACTCAGAGATGCAAGTCCTACAACAACGTTTCAAACTTTTGCCTCACAACGTTGGGAGGGTATACGTATCAGAGGACGAATGACACAGAATCAAAAGGAAGACTCCATGGATAAAAAATTATTCGGTATGACCCGAGCATGTATGCGCAGAACAACGATAGAAGCACTCTACAACCTGCACTCGGAACACAGAGACGTGGTCTGTTCTACACCCCAATGCACGCAGATAGCAAAATCCTTTTTCAAAGACCTATTTACCTCTAGGTGTGCCCAACAAAAGAGGGATGTTAGAGAAAACGAAATGGCATAATTCTTGAAACCAATGAGAAAACATATGACGTACCAGCAAAAAATTGACATAAATCAGCCTCTGTCCAAAGAAGAATCTGGACAGCGATGATGCAGATGGATGAGGAAAAATCCCTGGGCGCGGACGGACTCCCCAAGGAGTTCTGGGAAACCCTCTGGTCCCAGATGACCCTAGACCTCATGAAATTCTATCGACTAGTATGGGAAACGGTGAGCATGGGAGAGTTGGTGGGACAAGGTATCCTTACTTTGTTGCACAAAAAAGAGATAGGATGGATATCAGAAACTACCGCCCAATAACACTGCGCACTGTTGTTTATAAGATGCTAGCGAAAGCCTCGGCGAACCATCTAATCCTGT